ACGGCGTCCTAGCACGAAGTGCGAGGAAACCTATTGTTATTGGTGGAATTATTATTAGGGCCCGAGCACGGAGCGCTAGGACCCAACGGCGTCCTAGCACGAAGTGCGAGGAAATCTATTGTTATTGGTGGAATTATTATTATTATTAGGGCCCGAGCACGGATGTGCTAGGACCCGACGGCGTCCGAGCACGAAGTGCGAGGAAACCTATTGTCATTGGTGGAATTATTATTATTAGGGCCCGAGCACGATGTGCTAGGACCCGACGGCGTCCTAGCACGAAGTGCGAGGAAACCTATTGTTATTGGTGGAATTATTATTATTATTATTATTTTTAGTCAACATCTTTCCTGTTTTTGAGGCCTTTAGGATGCTGACAAAGTTGTATAATTTTGCACGGACGCCAGGACCGGTAAAAATTGCNACTGCACCGAAAATAAATACCTCACGATATCTATCTAATTATGGACTTGCTTTACTTTCACGGAACACATTTTTGGTGATAACAGTTACGTTGTTACATTTGTTATCACCAAAAATGTGTTCCGTGAAAGTAAAGCAAGTCCATAATTAGATAGATATCGTGAGGTATTTATTTTCGGTGCAGTTTATGTTGAAACCGTTGGAGAGAGTGGCACACTTGTTAGCCTGTTCCATTCTTCTTTGTTTTCCGAAGCCGTGGCTTGGAAGTATACTTGCTTCGTTTCTGAAGGAAGTGACTTGGAAGTATGCGACTACCAAGCCAGTATCCTCGCGATTGAGAAACGGCCCTGCTCTCCAGTACAGGTTAGCTCTGAGTGTTAGCGATGCTAATGTGAACATGCACCGACCATATTACGTCCAAAACAGTCGGGCATTGTTTCTGATAGCAACGTTTCTGATAGGGCCCTGGATGTAATGCCAGCCTACATTTCCGATATTACGTCATATCGGACGCAAATCTGGATCAGCTCCGTTTAGAGATTTGGGTACGGAGGAAAAGAGAGAGGGTTTTATTTTCTGATGCTGGGTGAGTTCCCTGACACACCGGGGACACATATTTATGTATAAAAGACATCAAAACGTGCATTTTGCATAGGTCCCCTTTAACATTTTGCTTCAGTGGTTGTCATGCATAGTTTGTTTTCTGCAGGGACTCAATCAACCTACTGTTCCGAATAATTCCACATGACTTAGTCTTCATGCATTATATATTATTATGAACACTAGCAGACGGTGGAAACGCTCACCTCAGGTCTTTCAAAAGTTCAGATCTCAGCAGGGGAGTCTCCACCGAGTGCTGGAACAGCGCTCCTTCAGGACCTGATGGGAAAGAGACACATAGTTGAGAGGAGGTTAAATCAAGTGTGAAACTACTACTGAACAACTTAGGTTTGTATAAATACATTTATTCTATTTAATTTGATCTATGTTGCACATTTTTACTTATTTAAATGTCTTCATTCTATTTTTATATGATTTTTTCTTTGGACATTTTTACTTAACCACTTTATTCTACTTTTCTTTTTCTTTTTATTGAACATCTTGAGTTTAAATTCCCATAAAGAAAATAAAGAAAGAAATAATGCATAATGCATGCTCGCACATTCTTACTTTAACTTGTGTTTGTATAAATATTTTTAATAATTATTTTATTTTATTTGTATTTATTTAATTTTTCGCCCCGTAAAAATAAAAACATTTGTTAAAGAATATTCCTTAAAATATTCATTTATATACAAAACATATATTTATTTGAGTATTGATTTTTTTAGATCAGCTGGTAATACACTGAACAAAAATATAAATGCAACACTTTTGTTTTTGCTCCCATTTTTCATGAGATGAACTCAAAGATCTAAAACATTTTCTATATCCACAAAATAACCATTTCTCTCAAATATTGTTCACAAATCTGAAAAAATCTGTGATAGTGAGCACTTCTCCTTTNCTTCTGGAAAAGCTTCACAAGTACGTCGGTACGCAAATGCGCTTTGAGACACAAGTGACGGTACGCATTTCAGATTGTTGCCGCGCATGCGTACCTGCGTACCACTTATGTGCACCCCTGGTTATAAGATTCATTGATGAGTGCCAATATAACATCACACTTTAAAAAGGGACAGATTTCCTGATGTCACATTGTGACACATTGTTTGTTTAGTCAGTATTACTCATCCTGAAAGAAACTACCCGTGTTGGTGTCTTTGTCGGAATGGACTTGTATTTAACGTAAAATAAGTTCCCTGTTGACAGAGGAACAGCCATCATGCTTGTTGGCCGTATGCATTCTCTGCAATAGATTATTATTCTAATGTCTCAACTCAAGTGTTACTCTTGTACATTCTGTATTATTCTCCAATCACAGTGTGTAAGACGCTCAGCTCACATAGAGGAGACTGATCAATGCATCACAGAGCATTGTCATTCTTCCTATCATGCTTTGTACACAGTTGTGCTTCTCTTGGACCTGTGTCCACATAGCGCCTTTTTCTGAGTGCCCGCATCTTTTTTAAATAGTTTTCAATGAGGAAGAGTGCATGGCATCACACTCATCCATCTTGAGAAAAAGTGATGCCCCCAGTGTCTCAGCACTGCAGTGCTTCAAATATTTTAGCATATCAGAAAAGCGCTGGTGACATCACTGTAGAAATTGGATAAGCTTCATTTTAGCAAAGGCTTTCAGACGGAAACTATCAAAACAAAGACTGAATATCCTAATGTTTGAGATAAAGGTTGCCATTAGGTTAGATGTGTCTGTACTGTATATGTACGTCATATGTAAGTCATGTGTTAATGTTAATGTCTTCAATTGTCTTCTATGTCTGAAATGTGTCTTCAGAACAAGCGTCCTTACAAGGACAATAAAGTGTTGTATATATNTGTCTTGGTTTGGTGGTTATAAGCAGGGGTGCACACAACTTTCTCAGTGAGCCAGAAGTTGGAGTACCAAACACTGACTCCAGGTACTCATCTGAGTACCTCACTGAGAAAGTTGTGTGCACCCCTGCTTATAACCACCAAACCAAGACAAGGTAGAAGAGGTTTGGTTAAGCTTCCATTAACTTATTATTTTATTTTTATTTCAGCTTTAACATCTTCTGCACCTGGGCAAATACAAATTATTAGAAAAACACTTATGCATGTAGCATTACAAATGGTTTGGCTTATTTTAAGCTAATGTATTCTAAAGTCAGATTTAAACACTGGGGACACGGAATTGAAAAATATGAACATACTGTATACCTCCTCCTAATGAAAGACACTGAGTTGCATCATGGGAAATGTAGGTTTCAGTTTGTTGAAAGTTTGAATACCTACTAGAGATTTAAGTCAATATATATTTGGATTCTACAATACATCACTGTTAACCAATTCAATATGAACAACTGGAATGTTTTACATTTTAATTTTAATCTGTGTACCTGTACAATGGTTAATAATTGTCTTCCTTTCTATTTCGTGAGAAACATATAAATCCGATGTAAACTCTTACCATTTAGGTCTGTCAATTATCCAGGGATAAGTTGGAACAATAAAGCGACACCTTAAAATGCTCAGAGAAAAACGGAAATGTGTTGCCGTACCAGTGAAAGCTCTCACAAGTCTTAGTGCTCAGTCTGTGAGCTGTAAGTGGAGGTGTCTGTGATTTCTTACTGGACGTAGAGCGTTGAAGCGGGGAAATCACAGAGCTGGAGGAAATAACAGAGCTGAGGAGGTGAAGAGCCAAGCGATACGAGAGGGTCCTGTCTGCTAAATCTGTAACTCAAGCTGATGGGGCTACATGGGAAATCAGCTTTGGCCGAGGGCTTCACGGATTAGACCCTATCTGCCCTGCTCCCTCCGGACCCCTGCAGATTATTTAAATAGAGTAGATTTACATATTATATAAAAAAAGTAGGCCCAGGTTATTAATAACAAAACACAATATGTAAAGAATAACAGATAATCACACCTAAACTAAGTAGCAATACATTTAAAAAAAAAAAAGTGTTCATAGATTGAAAATGAAATCGAAAGAAAAATTGAAAGTTTAATTGGATTGCATGAGTGTATGACCTTATTAAAAACTGTAAACATGTTGAACACTGTCATGGCCCCCCACTGAAATGGCTCTAGAACCATGAGAGGTCAGCGTGGATTGCTTACGGAGGTGTTCCATTTAAAACGCCAAAACCATTTCCCTCCGACCTGCTGAAAGCCTGTTTGGGAAGCCCTCATGTACCACTTCACCCACAATGCAGTTCTGACATGCGACACCGGTGAACCCGTGGTTACCTGCTCTGGGCCTCACAACCTGCAAACCACAGAGAGAAGGGACAAAATCCGCTTGCGTCATGAACACCAGAGACCATCCCGATGTGTGTTCATACTTCCTGCTGTCATTACAATCACAGCGCCTCACTCTTCCCCTCCCTGTGTCCTTGCAGTAATCTGGAGTTCTGCAGCACGGGGCACCAATCCATGCGTGACCATATGTAATATAATCAAAAAGTCAGTGCTGTGTTTTATACAAGCAATCAGAGCCAATCAGTGTGAGCCCAGTGTGTGATGGGAAGATGGAGGGGGGTGGGCTCAGGGGCTGCTGAGGCCCCGGCCGAGTGTGTGTTACTCATCAGTCTCCCAGGCCCGGCGCTCTGTTTGGATTGCTGTGTTTGGATAAAGCAGATTGGTTTGCACTTAACCCTGTAATATATGCAAAACTATCCTCCTGATAATACTCTTTAGGCCTGGCCAGTCACCACTGTGGCAGATCCCATAAACGTGGCACTGCTTGAAGAAAAATGGCACGTAATAAATTGTGACAAGGGTGCAGAGGGGGCCCTGTAGAGCAACCCCGTCCCAGAAAAAAAAACACACACACACACACACACACACACACACACACACACACACACACACACACACACACACACACACACACACACACACACACACACACACACACACACACAGGATATGAAATATGGCATTGAGATTTACAGATGCAGGTCAATGGGTCAATTTGAAAGTGCATGTGTAGAGGTGAGACAACAGCAATGCAGAAACTCAAGCCATTTCTTCAAAAACACAGGAACTTTAACAACACATTATCTCAAAGGGACAATTATTGGATAGTACATCCCTTTGAAAAGTCTTTCTTATTTCCTCACATTTTAGGAAGTATACTACTTTGCTATGTTTCTAAAAGTTAGAGACCGGGTTCAGACGAGTCGGAAGGCATTAGTGAAGCAGAGCACAGAGCCTGGGGGCAGGGGACTCGTATAATAGTTATAGCCGCCTAAAGCTACAGATCTTTTCATTTTATTCCAGTTTATGTACAAACTAGCTAAACAGGATGGCCCTGGCATTTCGGCTTCACTTTACCGCCATACGCATACCATTCATATATTAACCATATATATTAAGCTTTTGGTTGAGTTTGATTTTGGTTGATTTACATGTGATAACATGACATCATAATGATCTGGTGACTCTAGTGATGGTAGCAATTGTCAATGAGAAAAACAATGGGCCAATCGATTTGTTTTACAGGCCACTAAATGCGAGCTAATTGGCTAAATCTGGTAACAGTTGCTAAGTGCTTGCTTAACAGCCAGGGGGCATGTGATTGGTTGAAAGGTGCGGATGCTGCACTTTTTTCATTAAACAAACTTCTAGAAAAACTAAAGAAAATTTTAATGATAAAACAATATTATAGTTTTAGTTTATTGCTGTTTTATATATTTAACACCATTTATTAGACACTACGTATTCATTATAGCAGTGGTCCCCAACCCCCGGGCCCCGGACCGGTACCGGTCCGTGGGTCGTTAAGTACCGGGCCGCACAGAAAGAATAAATAACTTTCATTATTTCCCGTGTTTATTATTATGTCGAGTCTGAACATCTGGTTATTTTGAACAAATTCGTTCCGAATGTCTCCCCGTTACATCCGGTCTATGACTCACCGTGACCCCCCTCTTGCACCGACTTGACCTATGCTATTTGAGCACATGTCAATATTGTGTGTCACGTATACATTTAACGGTTAGCGCTAATATTGAATATTATTACTGGTCGGCGCGGCGTAGAACTCAGCAAGGGTAGACCTCACAAGCAGAGAATATTGAGTAAGGGAAGAATCAGACGTTTGGAAGAGTTCTTGCAAAGGGAGAAAGGCCAGGTGAGGTGAGACAGGAATGAAGACCTTATACCGACCAGAGAAAGAAAGCATGCATGTGAGAGGCAGAGGCTAGTACCACGTGGAGACCTACATGGGAAAAGAAAACCGTGTGTTTTTACCGGGTAAAAACTGGCAGCTTTGGTTGCCCAGAATGAGATGAGTACTAAGAATGAACTGAGTGAACCTGTAGAACAGGAGCACAAGCGTGTGTAGGTGGGTTTAGCAGTGTTGAAGAACCATGTTGTTAAGGTTGTACATTTTAAATCTGTAATGTTGTCAAGACAGTCCCTTTCTGGGGCTCGAATGTAGGGGCATGAGTCCGTGTATGGTAGATACTGGTTTATTTCGGGAGTAAGATTGCATCAGTGGAGGGTGGGTACAGCTTGAATGGCGCCATGTCAATTTGTAGCAGGGGGAGGATACGCGAACGTAGACAGCTGTTTGAACATAACCATCGTTCAAGTGGAGTGAGAGGGCGCGCGGAGGAAGGCGGAAAGTTGGTAGTAATTTAGGTGTATTTGTCGCTAGTAATGACGAGTTGTTTAGCGGGGTGAGAGAGGAGAGGCCGTCGTAGGCTAGCGGATTATTTTCTGGGGTTAAAATGTGAGTTTATTACAATAAAATCGGCAGCAAACGACTTTCTTATGAATAAACAATCTCAAACTATATTAGTATAAAAGCGGGGGTAAGGATTAGACGTTGCTCAGTGAAAGGCGCGGGGCGTGTTCGTCCGGGGGCGGGGGCGGTATTACGCGAGTTAGTCAGATTGAGACAGGTTTGTTCATTTAACCTACACTGGCGCGTTCCGCGGGTCGGCGCGGTACATAGTGTTGTCGACTGAGTTACCAAATGTGATAGAGCGGAGACACTGCAATCCAGTGGCGGGTACCGACTTAAGCGGATTCTCAAGCGAGCTAAAAGAGCGAAAGCGTGATAAAGCTCAAGGCCACTGTGATTAAAAAATTGAAAAGAATTCCAACAAGAACTTGCCTTTCCCACAGAATTTATGGGCGTACGAGTAGCGTATATAGTATTTATATGATAATATATAATAGCGAGTGATCAAAAACATCTGTCATTTCTCAACTACATATTGGTAAAACATACAAACTAAGCTGCACAATAAACAACTTCAAGCTGAACAAAGTTGAGAGGTTACTAGCAGAATCGATTTATGGGAATGAATGTTTACTAAAACAAAAAAGGCGAAGCGCCGCGCGCAGAAAACCAACCAGTGAGTGGTAACACGTCAACATGCTTTCACATTCAACAGTGATGTCTAGCTTTTACATAGCACATAAACCCAAACCGAAGATTGGTGTTAAGCAACTCTTCGTGTAGACAGGGCAAGAGCCCGCGAAGAGTGGTGGGACAAGGTGCGACGCTCGTTGAAATAGTTAGTTTGGCGGATGGTTGAGATCTTATCATGTTATTTCATTTTTTACAAATTATTAAAAGAACCAATTTAAATTAGAAAACAAGGCACTTGCAAGATTTGTAAGGCTGAGCGCGGCGCGCGTTAACATTCAACAACTCTGTAACTTGGGCACATCGCACATGCCAGCGAGCGGTCGGTGGTTAGGTCGTCATATTCGAGCTGAGTGCGACGCACTCCCATGGTCCGGAGAGTTCCTGTATCAAGGTGAGCGACTCTCGGGTTCACCTGGAAGGACGGATGCGCGTGTCTTCTCGCCTTTGGTGCCCTTCTCTGGGTTTGATGGAGAGAAAAAGCGCGCCGGCGCCGCTGCTCGAGACACGGCCGCGCGCTGCAGGAAAAGCAACAAACAACAGAATTAATAATGAAATAGCTCTGTCCTAACAAAAAAACATCACATCAATCTTCTCCTACCTTATTTTGAAGCCAT